GGGTTGGGGACAGATTATATAGGGCTGACAGAATGTGTAGGGTTGGGACAGATTGTATAGGGTTGGGACAGACTGTATAGGGTTGGGGACAGATTGTATAGGATTGGGGACAGATTGTAAAGGATGGGGACAGATTGTAAAGGATTGGGGACAGACTGTATAGGGTGGGGACAGACTGTATAGGGTTGGGGACAGATTATATAGGGCTGAGGACAGAATGTATAGGGTTGGGACAGATTGTATAGGGTGGGGGTCAAATTGTATAGGGTGGGTGACAGGCCATATAGGGTTGGAGACAGATTGTGTAGGACTGGGGAAGAGATTGTGCAGTGTTGTGGGAGACAGACTATATCGGGTTGGGGACAGACTGTATATGATTGGGGATGGAGGGTGTCCCTGCCGCAGCCATCCTGGACCTGGAAGCCTGATACCTCCTCTTGGCCCATTTTCTGAATCCTGCCTCTTCCTGGAAGCCATTCTGTCCCCTTTCCTGCCCCTTCTGTTCCACTGGTTAACTCTTCCTGCAGAAGGGAGTCAGAGGCCACACACGTCCTACCTGGAGGTGACCTTCAAGCCCCTGTCCCGCTCTGTGATGTGAGACCTTTGTGTGGCTCCAGGTGGGCAGGGTCCAGGCCTTCATCCCTGGGTCCCAGCACCCCACACGGGGCCAGCACAGACCTGTGTGCGGAGGAGCGAATGGGGTAGGGCCCCATAAAGCACCTGGGTCCTGGTTGGAGGTGCACGCAGTCAGCGCCGGCTGGCATGGACCTCACTGCTGTGCTCTGCGGTCACTGCATACCCTGAGGTCAGCAGGGCCCCAACTGGCCTCACCTGTCATTTACAAGGGTCCCTGCTCAAGAAGCCTCCTGCAGATGCCGGGACGAGTGGAGGGCGGGGCCCGGTGTCCACGCGAGGAGGAGTCTATGCTCAGCACGGCTGCAGCCAGCAGGCGTCCCCACGGGGTGTCCAGAAGCTGCTGCATGGACCATGCCTCGATCACGGTCAGCCTGGGGAGCACAAGTCAAGGGGGGTCCTCCCACCCTGGGGTTCTGGGGTAGGAAGAGGAACCACTGAGGTTGCAGGCAGAAGCATCCCTTCGCCCCCAGAGCAGCCCTGGGCTGGGGGAGCTTTAGTGGATGTGCAGAGTCCCAGTGAGGCGGCCCGGGCTTTTCCAGGCCTGCCAGGAGACCGAGTTGGGGGATGACGGAGATCCTTTCTGTCTGAGGTGGCTCCTGACATCCTGGAGTGGGCCTGGGACGTCCCCCAGCAGCACCAGAGTGCACTGCATGAAAGGGGCTCCAGGAAAGGGCAGGCGTCCCACCTGCCACAGACACACCCTCTTCACGACAGCTCGGCAGCCCAGGCCTCTCTCCCCGGCTCACCGTGCGTCTCAGGACAGAGTCCTCCTCAGGCCACCTTTGCGGCTTTCCTTTAAAAAAAAAAAATTTTTTTTTGAGATGGGGTCTTGCTATGTTGCCCAGGCTGGTCTCAAACTCCTGGCTCAAGGGACCCTCTCGCCTCGGCCTCCTGAGTAGCGGGGACCACAGGCACACACCATCACACACAGCTAATTTCTTTTTTTTAATTGTTGGTAGAGACAGAATCTCACTATGTTGCCCAGGCTGTTCTCAAAACTCCTGGCTTAAGCAATCCTCCCGCCTCAGCTTCCTGAGTAGCTGGGGTCCCAGGTGTGAGCCTCCGTGCCTGGCTTACTTGCTGCTGTCCTGAGCTCTGTTTTCCATACAGTGAAGAGAGGGTGGGTGTTGGGGGGCCCGAGGAGCCCTGTAGCAGCCGGGTCTGGGGGTAACAGTGAGGGGCTGCAGCTGGGGAGAGAGCTGTGCCGGGGTGGACGCTGGGCTCTCGTCCTCCTGGGCGAGGGGCTGGGCAGACAGGACCCTCTCTTCCCTTCTCCCTGACACAGCAGCACTGCCCTCTGGCCACCTATGTAAAGGCACTGACGGGGCCAGGGGTCAGGTGCCAGGTGTCCGTGCTGATGCTGGAGCACCCGGTCGTGTCTGGGGGCCAAGCAGTGTCCTGGGAGCCTGGGTGAAGGCCCACGACCCCGGCAGAAGGTCTCAGAGGAGACAGCTCACCACAGGCCCTCAGAACACCCGCCTGGTCTACAGAGGGGACGCTGAGGCTAGGAGAGGGAATGTGGCCAGTCCCTGCTGCTCCCTCGCCCGCCCCCATCTCCGAAGCCCCAGGACACCCAGAGGCCCTCTTCGGGCTGGACCCACCCCGGCCACCCCGGCCCTCCTGGCTGCCGGCCGGGGACACCAGTGCGCCAGGCCTGCCTTGATTGTGTCGATGGGAGATGATTTTCAAGGTGAAATTTCTAGTTCACTTGAGTCACTTTCGTTCAAGGCGACGCACAAAATGTCATCCCGGTCTGTTCTGCGTGCAACGCGCTGTTCTCCCATCGCATTTAAATTTTCCCCACTTCCCTCCCTGACACCTGTTTAAATCAATATCTTCCTCTCCAGGTCGCGGGGAGAATGTGCCCAGCTCTCCACACAACGCTTCTCAAATCCACTAAAATCAACACAATAATTGAAATATTTTCAAGCTGATTACACCGCAGCCCGAGGCTAGCCTGGTTGCTAAGGGTGAACTCCGCGGTTGCTAGGGGGAGTAAATCATCTTGCATTATTTGATTTTTGTTATAGATATGAAACCGCTACTCCCGCGATTAAATGTCTCTCAGCCTAACACCTATGGGACCTGGGGAGAGGGAAGAGAAAGGCTCCAACCTTGACCCTGTCAAATAAATATCTCTAACTTTTTCTGTCCTCGGGCTTCCCAGCCAAACCTGTCTGTGGGTTTTTTTTTTTCTTCCCTTAACCTGACTTTAAATAACAAAGCTATGGGGACGGGAGATGAAGAGAGGAAAGACTGTTCTATTAGAGGGTGCTCAGCGCGTGCACGCCCTGACATCTAGCCCAAACCCGCACGATGGCAAAGCTTCGCGGCGCTAATAGCCTTTCTGGCAACGGCCACCCCGACGGTCCCCTCCTGCGGCAAGTTCAGCTCAGACCAGGACGACTCCTTCCGCTTCCGTACGGGCTCCTGCCCGGCCGAGGGAGGGCTGCTGGGGACCTGGCTCCCCGGTAACCCGTGCCCACTCCTGACCTCTTGCTGTCTTGGTGAATTTTCTCCAGACCACAGCTTTGGCCCAGCATGGTGAGCAGCTGAGCGTCCTGGGGCCACCGCGTCCCAGGATGGCGGGACCAGAAGGAACAGCAGGGCGGAGCCCCAGAGTCAGGCCTGTCCCAGTCCAGCCCCTGTACTGGCTCACAGCCCTTTCTGCCGAGGGCAGGGGTCTGTGTGGCAGACACTGGAGGTGTCCTCATGCCGCCAGTCTCCAGCTCTCTCAGAGGCAGGGTCCACCCTGAACACCCAAGTGGCCAGACGTCCCCTTCCCTAGCCCCCGCCGACCCCCAAGCTCCCCAGGCCGACCCCCTCGGAGGAGCGCGGGTCCCCCCAGCCAGCCGAGGCTGCGCCCGCTGAGCTGTGAGCACTGTGGCGCAGAGCCGGCTGTCTGCGGCAGGTGGGCGGGGGACGCTACCCTGCTGGGACCCAGCCAGCTGTTCCCATGAATGAATCTGAGTAAATTAACAAACAGCACACAAACCTGCCACCTGAATCATTCCTGATGGCTCTAAGAGCCGGGCAGGCTGGGCGGCCCCCTTCTGGGGTGAGTTGGGCACGGTCCTGGAGGCTGCACAGGCTGGCCCCTTCCCCAAGGCTCCCCTGGCCCTGCCCCAGCGGCCCCTCGTCCTTCAGCCTGTCCTCAGGGCACCAGAGTTGACCTTCGTCTCACTGGGCCGCGTCCCTGGGTTAAGACCCTCCACCCCGTCCCCCCACCCGCCAGGGCAGTACCAAACTGTGGGACTCAGCTCCAAGCCCCACTACTGCCTCTATGGTGTCCCCACCCCAGGCCACCCGGGGCCCTGCCTTCCTGCCCCCTGAACAGCCTCATCCTGCGGGGCTAGTTCTGGTCCCTTCTTTTGCTGGAAGTCCCTGCCACCCACTCCAGGGACTTCCGGGCTGCCTGGCCTCCTCTGATGGGTACCATCCGGGTCACAGGGCCTACTCAGGTGCTCAGCACGCTACAATCTGCCCTCAGCACTCCGGGAAGGCCGTCAGTGCAGGCACCGTCACCTTTTCCCAAGTGAGGTGGAGGCTGGGTGACAAGTGACTACCCCGGTCCAGAGCTTGAGACCGGAGAGGAGCCCGTCCCCTCCTTGCTGGGGCGCCCAGGGCAGCAGCAGAAAGTCCCGGGCCAGAGTGTGCTGGCTCCTGGCTTCCAGCCTCACCCGGTGGCCAGATCCCCTTTCCCCAGGTGCTGCCAGCCTGGCCCTCCCACAGCATCCTGCAGCCCCGGCTCCTGCCAGTCTTCCCCGAGGGACACATCCTTAAAGCTGTTCTGTCCAGGATCCCTTTCCCCAGCTCAGCATGGGGGTAGCAGGAGCTGATGGGACGTGCACTTGGGGCAGGAGATGGACACAGAAGCCCCTGGAAGCAGGTAGACCCCCTTCCTGACAACCCTCTTGGGGACCACAATTCATCTTCTCCACTGTCCTTAGAGAACCAAGCACATGAGCTGCCCCTAAGTTCACATATGAGGAAACTGAGGTTCAGAGAGGTTCAGCCACTTGCCCAAGGCTGAGGGCAGGGCAAGTGCTTGCCCAGGAAGAGCCATGCTGAGGGCAGGCTGCCATGCTGGGGGTGCCCCCACAGCTGTCCCGGAGTTGTGAGCTTTATCAGAGCACCGGCAAAACCTAAACTCGTCGGGTAGAAAACAAACATCGGCCAGGCATGGCACTCAGGCCTGCAGCCCCAGGACTTGTGGAGGCCAGGGTGGGAGGCCCGCTTGAGCCAAAGAGTTTGAGACCAGCCTGGGCAATATAGTGAGACCCCGTTTCTACAAAAAATAAAGAAATTAGTCAGGTGTGGTGGCACACGCCTGTGGTCCCAGCTACTCGGGAGGTTGAGGTGGGAGGATCACTTGAGCTGGGGAGGCCAAGGCTGCAGTGAGCCGAGATCGCACCACTGCACTCCAGCCTGGGTGACAGAGTGAGACCCCGTCTCCAAAAACAGTGAAAAATGAAAACATTTACATTCCTTTCCAACTATAAAATGCCCATTGAGAAGGATCTGGAAAAGACAGAAGAGGATAAAGAAGCAAACTTTGATCCCACTAAGGGAACCACCTGGAGTTAGGAGCAAGCCTAGAATGTTCTAGAAGGATTGAAGCCAGCGTTGTCTGTGGCGCTGGGAAAGTGGCCTGGACATGGGGATGCAGCTGGAGGGCCCCAGGAAGATGCTGAAGTCCTGTATGAGGCCCGGTCTGGGAGCCACAGCCCCTCCCTCCCCCAGTGTCTGCCCTCTTGGGTTTTCTGCCGGGCCTCCCTCAGAACCCACGGCTCCCCAGGTGGCTCCGGCCCCGGCTCACAGGCACAACCTAGGACGGGGAAGCCACATGCCCAATGTCAGCTCTTCCCTCTGCATGCTGGATTGTGGGAGTTTGCCTTGCACCTTGGGCTCAGGAGGGGCTGGAGGGTCAGGAGGGGCCCCGAAGGGGACCTGGCCTTGGCTATCTACCTCCCACAGACACTGCCTGCCAGAGGGGCGGTGTGGGGACAGGGTGTAGGTGTGGGGATCGGGTGCAAGTGTGGGGATGGGGCGAGGGTGTGGAATGGGGTGGGGATAGGGTGCAGGTGTGGGATGGGGCGCGAGTGTGGGATGGGGTGCAGGTATAGGGCTGGGCTGCAGGAGCTGCCTTGGAGTCTGCCGCCCCGAACTTTTCCAGCCTGGTACCCTGGAACCATGCCCCCCACCCACCTCATTTTCCTCCTTCGTACAGGAGGAGAAGCCCCCGGGGTGCCCGCAGGCCTGAAGTGATGGCAGTATATGAGTCCCACAGGAGGAGGGCTGGGAGGTACTTCGCGATATACACGGCAGGCGCTCACTGAATGGTGCCGGCTCTTCTGGGCCATCCCTGCAGTCCTTAGGTGTGGACCAGGCATCCCTTGCCCCAGCAGGGCATCTGCCCGAGGCCACGGCCTGGGCCACTACTCTGCTTGGTGGGCACCCCCATCCTTCAGGATCCGCTCCTGACCACCTCTGGAAACATTGGGGGCAGGTTCTGTCCCCTGCACTGCCCCCAGTTGGGGGCTTCTTGGGCAGCGTCTTCAGCATGGCCCAGCCCACATCCAAGCACCCTGGGCCGAGTGAGTCCCTGTCAGATGCACTTGGAAGCGCAGCAGCCCAGCCTGGGCCTGAGACGCCGCTCTGTGCTGTGCCTGGAGGTCCCTGCTCCTGACTGGCCTGTAGGGAGGGGTCCTGGTTTCAGCCCACCTGGCCACGGAGGCACCTGCAGCTGACCCGGCCACTCTGGACGACCTGGCGGAGGGACTGAGTCCAGGCTCAGTGGCCCGAGGGAAGGGGTGGAAGCACCGTGTGCCTGGACCCCTGGACACAAGGAGGACTTTCTCTGTTCGGGGCCACGTGTGTGTGTGTTGGAAGCAGCTGAGGGTGTTGGGACCCGGCTGGGGAGAGGCCCCAGGGCTGACCTGCATGGGCCCTGGAACCCGGGGAGCGAGGAGCTCTGGCTGGGGGCACCCAGGGAGTTGTCACCCAGGCATGCTGGGCAGGTCGGGGTGCTGGGGTGGGTATCTCTCCCATATTGTGCCAGGGCTTGGGGCATGGCCTCTGGGCTCTGACAGCTGGGGGGCCTTCAGGGAAATCTGTCCCTCCAGCCCACGCAGACGCCTGCCCATTGGCCCCCAGGCCCTGCCCGCCTCCCACTGTGGGGTGGATTGGAGCCTATGGGGTTTGGCTGCAGGATCCCTTCCTTAGTAAGGGCTCCTCCTGGAAGGCAGACCCGCACAGACACTGTTTTCCAGAACCCCCCAGAGACCCCTGCTCCTGCCCCTGGACATTCTCCTCCCGGTGCTGTGAGGGCTTCATCCATCGGGGGGCCGTTCCCCCACGAGGCCGGAGATGGCCCCGGAGCCTGTGCTGTTTTCCCGGCGGCCACCTCCTACCCCGCCCGGCTGCAAGGACCCTCCACGGCCATTGAGCGAAGCCATCTGCCGCCAGCACCGCGAGTCCCCGGGCAGGAGCAGGAGCGCCGTGACAAGCTGGAGATATGTCAGTGCGGTTATCGGCAGAAGGCAACATCTGCCTACCCTGACATCAACAATGGTAGGCCATTTAGGCTGCGGCCCCCTCCCCGGAGCTGCAGACAACAGCTCCCTGTATTATATTTTCTCACTCAATTAGCACCACCACCCTGCTGAAATAGAGGCCAATTTACCTATAATGACATCATTGTTAGGGAAGTGGCGGCGGGCTGGGCTGTCACCAGGTTGCGGAGACAGGTCCGTCTCTCTCCACTAACCCTGACGGGAAGGGCCGGGAGCGGGCTGGGAAGGGAAGGGGCGCCTCGCGGCCTATCGGCGGCCACCCCGTCACCTCCGACCACAGACATTGTTTCCGACAGTTCTCAGGAGCAGTGTGGCGGAAAATTGAGTCCAGATTCATTAGGTTTTTCAGTGTGCCGCTCAAGTCAGTTAAATTGATACATTTCCTAACAAAATTGAAGTGCTTTGTGCTGCCAGTGGAAAGCCGGGTGACCCGCCTCGGCCCGCTGAGCAGCCGAACGCGCTGACGGATCCATTAGGCCGCTCCTAGCGCCGGCCCCCTCTCCCTCCATTCCTGGCCGGCGCTGTAAATCTCCGCCAATTTCGGTCCTAATCATCATTATAAACCCTTCCTCTGCCCGCTCCCGCGCCTCACCTCGCTGGCAAAACAGCCTCGGGCATGATCATTGCACCGGCCTGCAGGTTCAGCAGCCCCACTGGCTCGCCCGGGCCTGGGCCTGGGGGGCCCGGACCCCAGGTGGAGGAGCATAGCGTTGGGGGGAGCCCTGGGCTGCAGGAGGGGCCGGCTCATGTGGCATCGGCCAGGCTCCAGAGCGGAATGTGCACCCATTTGACAGATTGGGAAACTGAGGGTAGGTCTTGGTTTCCAACTGGACATTTGTGTTTTTTAAAGGAGGTACATACAGAAAGTCTATACATGTCAAGGGCTCACCGAGATTAGTGTGCACGATCAAACACGCTGAGGGAGAAACCGGAGAAACCCCAGATGGAGAAACGGGACATTCCAGCCACCTAGAAGGCCCCCTTTGCTCTCCTAGTCTGTGCCCCCAGCAGGGCGGTGGCTCTTCTGATTTCATCACCAGCTGTGAGCAGGCCCCTAAATGGAGTCACACATCCTGTTTTCCTTGGCATCTGGAGCCTTTTGCTGCCTGGATGCCTGTGAGATTCACCCACGCTGTTGCCTGGATCTGTGGCGAGTGCCTTTTCAGTGCTGCGTAGTATTCCACCCTGTGCCTTCATCGCCATGGACTCGCCCATCCTCCTTTTGCGTCCAGGTGGGGCTCTCACAAGCGAGTCCGCTGTGCACGCCTCTCGTGGGTCTGGTCTGGCCATGAGCACTCATTTCTTGATTCTTCTCTTGGCCACCCTCACTCTGCCCCCATCCATTGTTTAAAGAGCCACCAAGTGAGTTTTACAAATGCCAGGGTGGGTCCTCCCTCCCTCCCTCCTTCCTTCTTTCTCCTTCCTTTCCTTTTCCCTCCCTCCCTCCCTCCCTCTTCCCTTCCTTTTCCCTCCCTCCCTTCTCTCTCCTCCCTCCCTACCTTCCTCTCTCCCTCCCTTCTTCCTCCTCCCTCCCTCCTTTTTTCCTCTTCCCTCCCTCCCTCCCTCTTCCCTTCCTTCTTCTTTCCTTCTCCCTCCTCCCTTCCTTCCTCCTTCTCTCCCTCCCTTCTCTCTCCTCTCTCCGTCCCTTCTCCCTCTTCCCTCCCTCCTTTTTTCCTCTTCCCTCCCTCCCTCCATCTTTCCTTCCTTCTCCTTCGCCCCTCCTCTCTCCCTCCCTCCCTTCTCCCTCCTCCCTCCCTCCTTTCCTCCTCTTTGCTCCTTCCCTCCCTCCTTCCTTCCCCCTCCTGCCTCTCCCTCCTTCCCTCTCTTCTCCCTCCTCCCCCTCTCCTTTCTTCCTCTTCCCTCCCCATTCCCTCCCTCCCCTCCTAGTGGGAAGGTAGCGGGGCAGTAACCCTGGGCCCACATGAAGAGGGCTTCCAACTGAGGCCAGGAGATCAGCTGCATTATGGAGACTAAGTGGACTGACGAGAATGGGCCCATATTTCTTACTGTTGAAAAAGCTGATAGGATAGAGATGGGGAAGCTAGAATGAGCTCTGTGGTGTTGAATTGGAACTGCTGCTGTCCTATGCAGGGATGAGGAAATCAGCATAGACACAGGTGTGTGTGCACATGCACACACTGTATCATCCTACCTGGAGCCCTGGAAATGCAGCACCTCAAGGGGAGTGAGCACACCTGGTGCCCAGACCTTGGCTTCTAACTGCTGCTCTCTGCCAAGAGGAGCAGCAGCTCAGCTGATTTCCAGTAGGGAAGGCTGAGCCTGGAATGTCTGGTCCAGAAAGTAGAAGAGCAAAGTGAACGGAGGGCACCAGTCCCAGGTCACAAGAGCCAGCCCCAGGGCCCCATGGCCACATTTGGGACAATGTGTACATCCAGATAAATGTGAGATGTTTGCCGGTAGAATAAAACAGTGGCTGCAAGTCCACAGTGACACGCACAAAGGATCCCTAAACATGGGGGGAGGAGGAAAAGGTGGAGAAGGAAAGGTGGGCTTTGAACACCATTTGTCAGCCATCACAGTGACAGCTGATTGTGGCAGGAATCAGCAGTGGATATTAAAACCAATGGGTGGGTCAGGTGCGGTGGCTCATGCCTCTCATCCCAGCACTTTGGGAGGCCAAGACAGGAGGATTACTTGAGCCCAGGAGTTCAAGAGCAGCCTGGGCAATATAGGGAGACCCCATTTCTCAAAAAAAAAAAAAAATTAGTCGGGTGTGATGGCATGTACCTGTAGTCCCAGCTACTTGGGAGGCTGAGGCAGGACAATTGCTCAAGCTGGGGAGGTCAAGGCTGCAGCAAGCTATGATTGCGCCACTTCACTCCAGCCTGGGCAACAGAGTGAGACCCTGTCTCAAAAAATAAAACAGAATAAAACAGAACAAACAAATAAGGTTGTGTGCGGTGGCTCGTGCCTGTAATCCCAGCACTTTGGGAGGCTGAGGTGGGCGGATCACCTGAGGCCAGGAGTTCGAGACCAGTCTGTCCGATATGGCAAAACCCCGTCTCTACTAAAAATACAAAAACTAGCCAGGCGTGGCGGCATGAGCCTGTAATCCCAACTACTAGGGAGGCTGAGGCAGGAGGATCACTTGAGCCCAAAAGGCTGACGTTGCAGTGAACCGAGATTGTGCCACGGCTCTCCTGGCTGAGCAACACAGCAATACTCCATCTCAACAACAACAACAGCAGCAACGACAAATCAGTGGACTCTGAGTGAAGCAGACAGCTCTCTGTAATGTGGGTGGGCCTCAGCCAAACAGCTGAAGGGTTGAATAGAACTGACTCATCTCCCCTGAGCAAGAGACTCTGTCTCTACAAATCGATAAATAAAAACAAAAAGTTATAGAAGAGATTATGCTCCACGAAAGAAGCCAGACACCAGCTGGGCGTGGTGGCTCACGCCTGTAATCCCAGCACTTTGGGAGGCTGAGACAGGCGGATCACAAGGTCAGGAGATCGAGACCATCCTGGCTAACATGGTCAAACCCCATCTCTACTAAAAAATACAAAAAAAAAAAAAAAAAGAAATAGCCAAGCACGGTGGCGGCGCCTGTAGTCCCTGATACTCAGGAGGCTGAGGCAGGAGAATGGCGTGAACCCGGGAGGTGGAGCTTGCAGTGAGCCAAGATCGCGCCACTGCACTCCAGCCTGGGCGACAGAGCAAGACTCTGTCTCAAAAACAAACAAACAAACAAAAAGAAGCCAGACAGCAAAGGTCACACAGGGTAAGATTCTATGCACAGAAAACATCCCAAACTAGCAAGTCCCCAGAGACAGATGGCAGAGACCGATGGTGGACGCTGATGACAGAGACCGATGGTGGACACTGGTGACAGAGGCCAATGGCAGAGCCAGATGGCAGAGACCGATGGCGGAGGCCGATGGCAGAGTCTGATGGTGGAGACTGATGGCGAAGGCCAATGGTGGAGACCAAAGGTGGAGACTGATGGTGGAGCCTGATGGCGGAGACCGATGGCGGAGTGGAGGTTGGCAGGGCTGATGGGTAAGGGGTCTCCTCCTGGGGACGAGGATGTTTTGGAACCAGAGGCGGCAGTGGTTGCAGGCCGTTTCTAAGGGACGAACTGCCACTGGATTACTGGATTTAAAATGGTGAATTGTATGTGATGTGGATGTCACCACAATCACAATCAAAAGCGACAGGACAGGCAGAATACAGACCTGACCCTGAATTAAAGCGTTCAGGGGAGGGGCGTGGCAACTCATGCCTGTGATCCTCACGCTCTGGGAGGCCGAGACAGGCAGATCCATTGAGGCTAAGAGTTTGAGACCAGCCTGGGCAACATAGTGAGACCCTATCTCTATAAAAAATACGAAGATTAGCCAGGTGTGGTGGTGCACGTGCCTGCAGTCCCAGCTACTGGGGAGGCTGAGGCAGGAGAATCACTTGAGCCCAGGAAGAAGAGGTTGCAGTGAGCCTCCACCTCCTGGGTTCAAGCGATTCTCCTGTCTCAGCCTCCCCAGTAGCTGGGATTATACCATGCCAAGCTAATTTTTGTATTTGTAGTAGAGACAGGGTTTCACCATGTTTGCCGGTCTGGTCTTGAACTCCTGACCTCAAGTGATCTGCCCACCTCGGCCTCCCAAAGTGCTGGGGTTACAGGCGTGAGCCACCACACCCAGTCATCATTTTAAGCATTTTGAAGTGTACAATTCAATGCAGTGAGCTATGATTGTGCTACTGTACTCCAGCCTGGGGACCAGAACGAAGTCCTGTCTCAAAAAAAAAAAAAAAAAAAAGCCCCATTAAAAAGTCAGGAAACAACAGATGCTGGTGAGGATGTGGAGAAATAGGAACACTTTTACACTGTTGGTGGGAGTGTAAATTAGTTCAACCATTGTGGAAGACAGTGTGGCGATTTCTCAAGGATCTAGAACTAGAAATACCATTGGACCTAGCAATCCCATTACTGGGTGTATACCCAAAGGATTATAAATCATGCTGCTCTAAAGACACATGCACACGTATGTTTATTGTGGCACTATTCACAATAGCAAAAACTTAGAACCAACCCAAATGCCCATCAATGACCGACTGGATTAAGAAAATGTGGCACATAGACACCATGGAATACTATGCAGCCATAAAAAAGAATGAGTTCATGTCCTTTGCAGGGACATGGATGAAGCTGGGAACCATCATTCTCAGCAAACTAACACAAGAACAGAAAACCAAATACTGCATATTCTCACTCATAAGTGGGAGGTGAACAATGAGAACACATGGACACAGGGACGGGAACATCACACACTGGGGCCTGTTGGGGGTGGGAGACTAGGGGAGGGA